CTGGACAAGAAGAGCACTGACATCCTACGGACCAAAAGGAGACAACAGAGAAACAAGGTCATTTCCCTCTCAGGCCAGCGAAGACCCCCCCCCCCTTACACAGGCAAATGGGAAAATAAAAGTGAAGGTTTTATCTGAAGACGGGGAAAGATGAGTTTTAGGCAAGGATGGGGAAAAGAAAATGATGAACACAATGTGCTCATAAGAAAGACAAGGACCAGCCAGGTGGTTCTCAGGCGGAACGTTCTAGAATCCCCACAGACACAGCGGGAGGACAGTTCACAGCAGACAACAACATCCAGAAAAGAAAAGCATGTGGCTCAAATGAAAATCACCCAAAATGAAACAAACCCGAGTTTCAGAAAAGACATTCGTATTGATTTTATTGTGAAACTAGGCAAGTCTAAAAGAGAAATCGCAGGATCCACCCACTGATGTTTACCGAATGAAAAGGCTCTGTGCATCTGGTATGTGGCTGGATGCTAGGTCACTGGACTCCCAAGGCTGAAAACCAAAACAAAGAAACAGCCATGTTCCTGGTGAGCCTTAAGAGCCAGCAGCCTAGTGAAGGAGGCAGAAATTCCTACAAGTTAAAGCAAAGTGAATGAGGTGCTGAAAGAAAGAAGTATTAACTTGATGAAGCATAAGCGGGCGGCTGGAGGAGGGAAACAGTCCATAATCAGAAAGGTCCTGGGGAGGTGGTTTTTAACCAGAATTGGGAATGATTTGAAGGAGGAGTAGAAAATGCCAGATAAACAAGACATTAAACGACATTGCAAGCAAAAGGAACGAGATGAGCAAAGACAGAGATAGGAATCATTACATGGTTAGAGAACAGCAAGTTTTACATGACAGGGCGCAAGAGGAGGACTGGCAGGAGAGGAGACTGGAAAGACAAATCATACAACCCCACTGTGCTCCTTAATGATATACACTATTATCTCGTTGCCGTTTCTTCCAGACTTTTTTTTTTTTTTTTGCATATACCAACACCTATCTATTTAATTTCCTCCTTCACTCCTATTAAGGAGCCTTGATGGTGCTGTGGTTAAGTATTTGGTGTGGTGGTTAAGTGTTTGACTACTAACCAACAGGTTGGCAGTTCAAATCCCCATACCACTGCCTGGGTGAAAGACGTGGCCGACTGCGTCTATAAAGAAGTGCAGTCTTGGAAACCCAACGGGGCAGTTCTACTCCTGTCCGTTAGGGCCACTGTCAGTCAGAATTGACGTGGCAGCGGCAGCGGGTTCAGTTTGGGTTATTCATCATACTGTTCTCACACTCTTCAGACCGTTCTTATCCTGCATGAAATGCTTTGAAACGTGCTTTAACTGTTTATTGACATGCATGGAAGATATTTTCAAATGAAACGTTTACAATCAGACTCCCCCATCCCCATTATGAAAAGTTCACTCTAGCAGCACACCACCGCTGGTGCTGCAGGCATCCCGTCTGAGGGCCGAAGGCACCACAGAAATGGAGAAGGGCATGCACGGAGAGAGATTCGTGGAAGCGATTCTGAAGAGCTCCATGACGGAGAGCATGGAGGCGGAAAGAATGGGGGTTCCCCAAAGACAGCTTCAGCGTGTGTGTACACTTTGAATGGCTCGGTGGGCTGGGTACGTGTGGGGTGTGTTGAGGGTCCAGTGGTTTGGGATGCAGAAGGACCTTGTGTGGAGGTATTGATTTTTAGGGGCTGTCAAGCACGAGGTGTCTTTGATTATCCCAGGAGTATTGCTGGGTCAAGGGTTTAGGGAAGTAAATGGGACCTGAGGTCTGATGTGTGCGAAGATCACCACTCGGAGCGAAATAAACTTCTAAAGAGGCTCGCAGGGAAGGGGAGAAAACAGAGAGACTTCATGAGAGACGCTGGCTCCACTCCTCGATCTGCCACTTGCCGGCAATGGGACACTGGGTCTACACTGGGTCTTTCCGAGCTTTAGTGTTTGCCTAAGTGAAAGAGATGGAATTCGCATCCACATTCTAACCTCCTGGGCACCGTGCGCGGTCTACAGAATCAAGAAACGGATTTGGAGCATGAAGTGTTGGGGATGCCTGGGGAGGGGGACGAGGACGAGGACGAGGTTGTAGCAGAGGAGACCCCGGAGGCCTGAACCGAGATGTCAGCGAGTTGGGGTTCGAAAGGGGTGGGGTTGCAAGCTCTGCAGGGGTTCCCAGCAGAAGGGCCTGGGGCGCACCGACCCGGAGGGGCCCGCCGGAGCTAGCAGCAGGGTCCCTCGGCGTGGAGCCGGGCCTAGCCGACCCGGCAGCGTCCCCCTCGGGGGGCGCCGCCCGCCTACCTCCGGGGCCACGGGGCCGCCGTCGTGGTAGTTCTCGGAGATGAGCTGGTCCAGGAGCAGGTGGAGCTCCGTGCAGGCGGCGCTGCCGTCGTCGGGGCGCAGGGCGCGGAGCTTGGCCCACAGGCGGGGGAACGCGTGCCCCGATTCGGGGCCGGGCTCCTGCGGCGCTGCCAGCGACGGCCCGCCGTGCTGGGAGCCAGCAACCTGCACCGCCGCCATGCTGCCTCCTAGGGCGGCCGCGAGACACTTCCGGGTCACGCCTCCGTGGGCCCGCCCACTCCGGAAATGCTCTCCTTGGGAAACGACCGGTTCCCATGACTACGGGACGCCTCGGCGTGCTGCCTGGCAAGTGCTCCGGAGAAATCGAGTTGCGGACTTTTCCGCCACCCAATTCGTCTTGCAGGTTGCCGTCCCAGAAATGGAGAGAGGGCGACTCTGCCTTTCTGTACTGGATGTCCCCGGCAGGGCTGCATGGCCCGCTGGGCACTGGCGTTTCAAGGTCAAACTTGACCTTGGTCAGACTGGCGTTTCAAGGTCAGAACCCCGGGGATGGCATGGAGGATATGGGGTGCGGAGAAAACGAGTTCGAACACGTTCTCTCTCTCTTTTTTTGCTTCTCTTTTTTTAAGCACTCAATTCTTATTTTATCAGTTTTTCCCCCAATTGAAAAAAATCATTTTGGGGGGTTCGTACACCATCCATCCATCCATCCATCCATCCATCCATCGGGCCAAGCATATTGGTACATTTGTTGCCATCATCATTCTCCAAACATTTGCTTTCTACCCGAGCCCTTGCTATCAGCTCCTCATTTTTGCCCCTCACGTTCTTGTCTTAAGTAGCAGTTAGAACCCCGGATTTTTACCCGCCCTGAAGAAAAAGCTACCTTCCCTGTATCCTTTATCCGTGTCCGTGTGATTAAAATCTGGCAAACAATAAAGATGGACTGTCAGCTCTTCTTTGTTCCCCCTTCTCGTTTTCTGGTGTGAACCTGCTCCTGAGTCAGGCAGCATTTTGCCCACGAAAAGTACTTTGAAACAACTACACGTGCGTGTAAACTATTACTTGCCCAAGGGTGACCTAAGAAGCCCCGGGGCTGCCGTGTTGGACGACCAACCACAAGGTCCGAGGTTCAAACCCGCCACCTGTTCCTCAAGAGAAAGAGCAGGCCATCTGCTCCTATGATGATTTACAGCCTCGGAAAAACTTTATATAGGGTCGCAACGAGTCGGAAGAGATTGGACGACAGTGGGGTGACCTGTCTGTCCTTGAGCGGCACAAACATTGAGAGCTCAACTTGAGGTCAGGGGTTGGACGTTTGAATTCGGGCTTTGGATCGCTTTGACCTGGTGTGAACCCAGCAAAAGACCCTGACAGGCCTGCCAGTCGGCTTCTGAAAGGTGGCACCCTTGAGGACCCAGGGAGCAGTTCTGCTCTGTGAGCTGGGGGTCGCTGAACGGCAGTGGACTCTCACTAACAGCATCACGCTAGGCTGGTGGGCCCTGGACACCCCAAGACTTTCTGAAACCTTCAAATCAAGAAGCTGGAAAAGAAAACAGCCCGTTTAAAATCGGTGAGCAGTTCCCAGCCACCCAAAAGCTGGCCATGTGGAATTCACACAGGGCAGACCGAAAGAACCAGCCTTAGGGCTTTTGAATACAAGGGGGATTCAAAAGTTCACAAGGGGGAGGGGGGATCCATTATTTTTCCACGGACTTTTTGAAGAGCCCTTATAGAAAAGTAAATCTTTACTCCTGACTCAGGTCAGGAACACGAGTGATCGTGTTTTATCCAGAAAGGAGACCGCTTCTGTTCAGCAGTCGAAGTTGTGGCTTATGCTTTTGGCCCAGCTAATGCTCTGAAAGAGGCAGGCTTTGTTGGGGATGTGTTACTTTAGATTTAATTTTTAATCATTTTATTGGGGATTCTTATAATATTTGTATCAAGCATATTTGTACGTATGTTGCCACCATCCTTTTCTAAATATTTACTTTCTATTTGAGCCCTTGGTATCAGCTCCTCTTTTCCCCCTCCTCCCTGCTACCCCCACATATCCTCTTGATAAATTATAAATTATTATTATTTTCTTATCTTATACTGACTGCTGTCTCCCTTCACCCACATTTCTGTTGTTCATCCCCCCTGGGGGGTGGTGTATGCTTCCATCATTGCAATCAGTTCCCCCTTCCTTCCCTCCCCTTCCCCCTGTCCTGCTGGTATTGCTACTCCCATTTCTGTTCCTGAGGGGTTTATCTGACTTGGATTCCGTGTGTCGTGAGCTCTTATCTGTACCCGTGTACATGCTCCAATCTAGCCAGAACTGAAAGGCAGGACTGGGGTCATGATAGTGGGGGGTGAGGAAGCCTCAAAGAACCAGAGGAATATTGTGTGTTTCATTGGTGCTATACTGCGCCCTGGTTGACTCATCCCTTCCTATGACCCTTCTGTGAGGGGATGTCCTATCGTCTACAGATGGGTTTGGGGTCTCTGCTCTGACTCCCCTCGTTTTCAACAATATGTTTGTCTTGGGTCTTCTGGTGCCTGTTACCCGATTGCGTCAGCACCTCATGATCGCACAGGCTGGTGTGCTTCTTCCATGTGTACTGGTGCTTCTCTGCCAGATGTCTGCTTGTTTAACTTCAAGCTGTTAAGGCCCCGGCCACTATATAGTTGATAGCCTGACACCATCAGCTTTCTTCACCACATTTGTTTATGCACCCATCTTGTCTTCAGTGATCAATCCTGTTGGTGTGTGTGTGTGTGTGTGTGTATCACAAAATGCCAGGCTGTTACAACAAAGTGTTCTTGCATTGAGGGAGGGCTTGAGCAGAGGCCCAAAATTTGTCTGCTTTCTCGATGTACTGACATATAAATATAAGAATATATCACTATTTTTATGAATTAATATATTTACATAAGTACCCACTTATATTTATACCTCTATCCATAGCTTTGCTTCCTAGCTCTTTCCTCTGTTTTCTTTTACCTTCCTCCTGCCCCATCATCACCCTCGCCCTTCTTCTGTCTCTTAGTAATTCCTCTCAAGTAGATTGTTGTTGCTCCAACAGCACTACATCCTCCTTGTTGCTGCTTTTAATTCCCTAGTTGTTCCCATGTCTGTGGTGTTATTTGCTCACTGATCCCTTCTCCCACTTCCTCCTCCCCACAAGTTCCTCCTGAACAGTGGTCCGGTTGCTTTCTCCTTGGGCTTACTTCCCATGCCTATCTTACATAGGCAAACCAAAAATAATAGAGACTAAACAACAACAACAAAAAATATTGCCTAAAAAGAGAAAAATAAAAAAAGAAAAAGCATACATAATTCCAGGTCTGTCCGTTGACCTTTGTGATTATCTTTCCCACTGGTCCTAGGAGGTTTCAGGAACTGCCCCTCCTAGTCTGAAGTCTATTTGGGGGGTTCCTCAGGGATTTTATGGCTTGGTTTGGCTCCCATTGCTGATTTGTTATGTTCCCTTCGTGGTTCACCCCACTGTGGGGGTGGTTAGACTAGACTCACTCCCTGCCGTGTGTCCCCAGGATTGTCCTCGGTCACAATATGCTCCAGCGAGAGGACATCCTGTCTCAAGCTTCTGTCAACCCCACAGTCCTCTCTGTGCCTTAGCAGCTCCGGGCAGGGACGTCATCCTCACGGCTTGGTGTGCCAGGATGGGGTCTAGTCCCTCGCTCTCTCTTTTCCCTTCCTGGTTTGTGTGAAGGGAATTGGAAACAACCTAAATTTGTGTGAGTGTGGCAGGCTGGTGCCTCTCCCCAGCCTGTAGGTTTAGTGTTGTCCTCTGTAGCACATACTTCTGGGGCAGGGGGTGGTGCTGAGTTTGGCTCTGATTGGGGCCGGCCCTGTCGACCTCTCTGTTCATGAGTTGCTCCATGTGGTTATGTGGTCCTCAAGGGTTGGTGTGCTGTGGTGGGGTCTGCATTCACACTCCCATTTCTGTGGAGACATGAACAATATTTTCCCTCTGGATGGGTTAGTGCCCAGCTCCCCTGGTGCCATTATTTCCCTCTTTTTGTTCCCTTTTCTCACCCACCCCCCACCTTTCCCCTTCTTTGTGTTGGAATGACATGTACATCCTTGGGTTTGGTCTGTCCCCCACCTGATTGCCTGTACCTCAACCCATAAAGTGTGAGGTAAGTGGCTTTTCTTCTATACTGCTGTGCTGGTTACACTTACCTCAGTGGACTCATGTTGTCCTTGTCCTTTTGTGATCCGCTAACTTCACTTAACATAATTTCCTCCAGCTCTTCCCAAGAGACAATGTGCTTCACACAATCACCAGTGCTTTTTAGTGATGTATAGTACTCCATTGTGTGTGTGTGCCAGTTTTCTACACTTGATCTTAGCCAAAAGGCCAAGAAATGATCCAGAGTTTTGTAATCCACTCAACTATCCTTGGAAATTTAGGTTGTTTCCAATTCTTTGTGATTGTGAATTGCACCACAAAAGCATCAGAGCACAGATGATTGGTCGTGGTCTATTTCTTACCTCTTCTGTGTATGTGCCCAGCAGGGGGCTTGCTGGATTTTAAAATAACTCAATTTCCATTTGCTCTAAATATCACTAGATGGCTTTCCACAGTGGCTGTGCATGTCTACGCGACCACCAGCAGTGGAGGAGAGTTCCTATTTTGCCACATTCCTCCAACATTTGTTGCTCTCTGATTTTCTGATTTGGGCTATCTTCAAGGGTGTTAGGTGGGATCTCATAGTTGTTTTAATTTGTGTGTGTCTGGTGGCTAATGATTGGGAGCATTCTCTCAAATGTTTATTGGCCATTCGGGTCTCCTCCCTAGTGAAACTTTTATTTGGGTTTTTTGCCTACTTCCTCAGGGGGTTAACTGTTTTCTTCTTTACCCAGGCTAGTAGGGTATTGTAGATTTTAGTAATAAGCCCTTTGTCTGCTGTGTCATTGCTAAAAATCCTCTTCCAGTCTGTAGGTTCTCTTGTTACTCTCTTGGTGAAGTCTTTTAACACACACAGGTGTTTTATCCTTAATACATCCCACTTGTCAATTTCAGCTTCATCTGTGTGTGTACCCTTCCCTATTACAGTTAGCCTATGTATTCCCTGTGGCAAGGTTCTTAGGTTTGTCCCTATTCCTTTGTTGATGGTCCTGGTACTTTGGGATTTTACTTCTAGGTCTGTGATCCACCGTGAGTTTGTTCGTGTGCTTGGGGTGAGGAAAGGGGCTTGTTTCATTTTTC